TCCCTACACTGATAATCAGAAGTGCTGCATCTCTTATGCTTGACCTCTTTGTTATAGACAGCACGCACAAACTTCGATTTTGGCATGTACTTTGGGTGATATTGTATCTGTGGTTTCCCAGGAATAGAACGCTAGTTCTGGCTTATCATGCTCAATGTTGCAACTCGTTTGAAGCAGTTAAAGCTGTCTCTTTCTGCTTGAAAGAGAATCCTTAGAATGCTAGTCCTGTTTGAATTAAGGTTCCTGCTTTTCATCCTCGCATTTAGTCCTCATCTTTGAACTGTAACCAGCTTCTTGCTTATTTCCTATAACAATATTTCTGTTGGTGGACTCGATATTCCAGATAAGTTTTCAGAACATGGACATGGCTCATAAACATTGATTAAATCGCACACTGCACCCTGCACTCCAGCATTTGTAGGTCACCCTGTTCGTTGCCTTGTTTGTTGGCAGATCCTTTGCAATTACTTTTGTCTGTTGGAACCCTCAGGAGCCATAAGTTGTATTTATTGTTTTGATGTACCGGAACTTGCAGAGGACAGATTCAGTGTCATCTCAGCAATACAGAATTGGGTGCCTCGTAGCGTTTCAGTGGCTGTTTTGTTAATTTAAAAACTGCCTTTACCAGTTAGAGGCAAGGCTATCTGTTCTTGGAAACTGAAAATGCTGATATGTGGATCTTGTCAGACCTGCACATTGAACATATGCAGTTGTTAGCTGCTGGAATTGTTTTCTTTCTCTCTCTCTCTCTCTTCATATCCACCATTCTTTATCTGCTTTGTAACTGGACATCAGCTACCAGCTATCACACGCACTGAAAGTTTTCAGCATTAACGCAATTGATGATAGTCTTAGTTTTCTGGTTCGTAAAGCCTTGTCTGAGTGGATTTGAGCAATTCATGACTGCATATCTGACTATGTGATTCAAGTTCTTTTTGTCCATTTATTGTATGGGCAGATGCATTGACAAATTCATCATTTCTTGATTGCTTAGTTGAGTGGGTTCTTTTGTCAGTTTGCCAACTGAATGATGAGCTACCAGAGAAGGATCCTGGTCGATGGAAATTGTCATGTCTGTTCTGTGTTGATGAGGATTGATTATTTTGAGATGTTTGGTTGTGGATAACTTGGTTTTATGATAGCCATGGAGATTGATTACATTTTGGGATTAGGCTGGAACATGATCGTGTTCGATAGAATACCAGCATAGATGACCATCTTAAGTGGGATTTTTTATGAAGATTGATGCATTCAGGTTTATGGAGGGCATGTGATGGTTATTACGGAACCCCTATCTTTGATTGTGGCAAATAGTGATCAGAGCTCAACTTACTAGATATCAGTTACGGTTTAGAAGATTCCTCTATTTTCTTTAAGAACTCTTTGCAAAATCAAACATATTGGGATCCCTTAGTATTCCATATTACAAAGTGAAAGTAAGTTATTTACTTGTTACTTCTGATCATCTTCTTCTGGATTATTTTTTCATGCAAGTCAATCATGTGCAAGTTTTTTTTTTTACCCCCCCTTCCTTTTCCATTGGGAGAGATGATATCATGTTTGAAAGCTCATTCTAAAACCAATTATTCAGTCAGTGTACTTTGAATAATGTGCTTTGTGAATGCAGGTTTGTTTACTGATGAGTGTGTCGAAGTTATCTGTGTTTTGCAGTTATAAGTTGGGGTGATGTTTCTCAAAGTTGGAGTGATGTTTCTCACCCATCATTGTTACTCCCTCTGTCCTGTTATATTGGTCCCAATTTACTTTCTTTTGTTGTCTCAAAATACATGTCCATAGTTGATAGTCAAAGCATAATTGTTGTGTGACTTATCTTTTTGTCTGTATGTAAGATAAACTGCATATTTTAGATACTAGCTGCTGTAAAATATTAACGGTAAAATCAAGATTTGAGAATCAAAATGAGTACATATGAAGCACATTTAGTGCTCTTCCTTTGTCATTGTTGCTAAAGGATAATGAAGATAAAGCAACTAATATATGGTGTTGGAAATGGTATAGACAAATCTAAAAGCTCTCTCAAGTCTGAGAACTGTTTTAAGAGGTACATGTTAGGGTGTAGTTTAGGAGATCCTAAATAGCAAGTGATGTTGTATAGTTTCTCCTCTTATCAGAACCCAATCATAGTTGCGGGTTTTTTACAACTTGTTATACCTGAACTAATTGAACTTTCATCATCTCCTGCTTCAAGCATGCTCGGATTCATATTTTCTTGATTTTGATATGATAAGTGAATTCACTATTTAGCAGCATATACATGTGCTAGCCATTCATTTTCAATGTGCATTGGGTAAAAAGTGTAGCCATGTCATCCTCTTTTGTAGTATAATGATAGCACTTCAGCTACCACCTGGTTTTCTTATACCCATACAATTGCTTGCCATCACACTTTCCTGTCTGGTGTTTCTGCAGGTAATGTTGGAAAGAGATACAGGCCGTCCACGTGGATTTGGATTTATTACATTTGCAGATCGTCGGGCCATGGACGACGCTATCAGGGAGATGCATGGACGGGACTTCGGTGACCGTGTCATCTCGGTGAACAAGGCCCAACCTAAAATGGGAGGGGATGATTCAGATCATGGCTACAGAGGAGGCTACTCAACTGGCAGCAGAGGAGGCTATGGGGGAGGAGACAGGCCTGCTGGACAAGATGAGTGCTTCAAGTGTGGGCGTTCGGGGCATTGGGCTAGAGATTGCCCTTCAGCTGGTGCCCGAGGTGGCGGTGGAGGTTTATTATCTTCACGTTCTAGGTTTGGAGGAGCTGGAGATCGAGGGGATCGTTTTGGTGGAGACCGTGATCGATACTTGGATGATCGCTATGATGGAGGACGCTATGGTGACAGGGATCGTTTTGAAAGTAGAGACAAGTATGGGGGGCGTGATCGCTATGCTAGTGACAGGTACCTTGATTCTTGAAGATGGAAAAATGGTCGAATGATATTTGCATGCTTGATGCCTTAATCCTTACCACCGTAGTAGGAGCCTGCTTTTATCTTTCTTCCACTCAGTGTTTCTTCTGTTTGCTTTTAAATATGTACCATATTTGATTGTGAGGCAGAACTGTTGCTGTATTTTAAGGACATCCTTTACTGACTAAACCCTGGGCGAATTCTTTAATTCAGTGTTACCATCTGTGGCATGATGGCCTGTTTGTGCTTTAATTTTAATGAATAGTGTGGTTGTTAATTTGCAAACCATGCAGGTACCCGCCACCCAATGGAGATCGATTTGCTGGAGATAGGTACAGTGGGTCAGATCGCTATGCACAGAATGGCTATGGCAAAGACAGGGGCTATGATAGGGATGGTGGTCCACGAGGGGGCAGTGATAGGTATGGAAGTGGAGGGCCATCACGCAATGATAGGAGCTACAAGAACAGGCCAGGACCTTATGACCGCCCTAGCAGAGGAGGACGCCCATCTTCCTTTGAGCGCTACTAATTGTTAGCTTTGTGATCAGTGTCATCAAACTTGTAGGTCTATGTCGTATTTTATTTATCCAGTTTGAACAGGCTGTAATGTCGGGTGGATGGTCTGTGTTTAATTCTCTATCCGGTAAGTGTCATGTAGGACGATGTAATTGACAAGAAACGGCAGTGTTGATGCTGATCTGATTTTTTTTAGTTTTGTTTCTGTTTTTAACCTCTATGCAACCAAATGTGTGCCTATGCACACTATTTTTGTCAAATAACTGTCTATACAAAAAAAAAATATATATATATATATATTATTAGGTGTTTTTTATTATTCTAAACTTTGTAGGCTTGATGTATTTTTTAATTTAATTTGAGAAAATTGGATGATAGGATTCGAGTTAGAATTAGGGCTTTTTATGATGTTTCATGAACAGTGAAATAACTTGCAACATTTAAATAGGTTTATAACAAACACATGTCTTTGTTAAGGTGGTTTGCGCGAGTCATGCAACAAGACTGAGGGTTCGGGCGTTGGGTTGCGTTTCTTTTCTAAATTGTGATAGGCAACATGTCTGTTAATTTTTATTTTTATTTTTTTAAGAAAAGTTGGATAACATACAAAAATAAAAAAAGAAACAGGCGTGCGCGCCTCACATGCTTTGCGCTTGCGAACCAGGTGCGAGGCTTGACCACGTGGTGGTATTTTTTCCTTTATTTTTTAAACATTTTTTAAGAGTTTATCTGCTTCACTTGCTTTTTAATTTTAACATGCTTCTTAAATATTATTATAAATTTTTATTTGAATCTGAATAATTTTTGTCAATTATTATGTATTTGATCTGAAATAATAAATTATTTGTGAAAATTCTGTTAAAATTGAATATTTATTATTAAAATGTTTAAAGAGTTTTGAAATATGATTTTATCGCATTTATGATTTTGTTAATTTTCCGCATCACAAAATATGAAGATAATATTTTGATATTATAATTTTAATGTTTTTTTAAAAAATGATATTATCACACAAAATATGAACATTTATTTTAATTTACTTCTAACATTTTAAAAGGCCCTTTTCTTTTCAAGGAACAAAATCATCTCACTGTTCTTGCTTGCATGATGTGACCTGAAGTGTGAACTGGAATATTACATCACTGTAACAGGCAAATACAAATATAATATATTGATGTAAAAGCTGTCACCGAAAGTTTTCTTCCAAGAGAAAACGTAGATCTGAGGGTACAATATTAGAGCAATTATCATGTACTGGTTGGAGACTGAATTTGGCCAACATTTCCACACTTCCAGGGTTTAATATTTGTATGTTTGACCATGTACTAATATTATACTGCACATCAAACTTTTCAACTTGCATGATCGAGTCAAGAACTTGGGGTTGCAATTTGCAATCACTTTGCTTCCTTTATGGCTATCCTTTTCATTTATTTTTAAAAAGCAAACTTCTTAAAATTACTTTCTCCACTTGCTTTTTGCGTTGCCAAAATACAAAATAGAGGGCGAAATTCGATGAACTCGGCATCGCTTTTCCCAAATTTGATGCTCGCCAAGACGCATGATCCAGGAGACTGTTCAAGTTTAAACGCCATGCATTTCCAGCCACTTCATTTATGGGCCACAAAAACACTAATTATTTGATACATGGATTTTCTTCTCTCTTTTTATTCCAAGACTATTCTAAAGATGCTGTCACTCTTGACTGCTAGAATTATTGGCACCAACTTTTCCAGCCACGCATCCAGGAAAAGAGAGAAGAAATACATGGAAAGTGATGGAATAGAAAAACAATAAACTTTGGAACTTCCGTGCTCATAACCGATCAAGTGGCCAATAAGTTCCAAGCACTGCTGGTCCCCTGATGACATCTCTATACATTTTAGTCAGCTCACGTCGATGATTTCCATCGAATATTCAACAAAATGCCAGTGAAGCAGAGAGCAAGGGACTAATAGGCACCCAAGAGAAACGGGCGTTGACCCAAATAAAAGATATCTTATTACTCCGAGATACAGTATCTTTGATTCCTCGACTCTCGAAAATAAAGATGACACGGGACCAACTTGAACATTGCAAAACCCTACACAAGAAGGAACATTGTATATCTTCTTTAGATTCGCAAGTTTATGTATATATATATCCCACTAGAATAGGAAAAGCTCTCTTTCTTCGAGTTCTTTGCATTGAAGGAGAGCTTATCTTAAGCAAAGTTATTAATGTTTTGTTGTTTAGTACAGCCTCGATCTGACAAACACGAGGAAATTCTTGTTTAACTATTTGGATGTCTCTTCGACTCTCTAAACGTCACGTTGCTAATCACATGCATGCATTAATTTTTATCATCCCCATCAGTTAGTTATTTAAGCTTAATCTTTTGTTTAACTATTATTTAGCGATATTGTCGCGAATCGCTTTATTTAGCCAATATCAGTTGAAGAAAGCCTAACCAACGTCTAACCACATTACTGTACAATGATAACACAAAAAATAATATTTTTATATATATAATTAAGCTCGATCTTTAGCAATATGATCTTACCATGATTTTTTTTTTCGTTTAATCCTCTGGACGTCCAATGGGTTCTGAAATAAGAAATCGATGAACAAAATCCCCCTATACTTAGGAAAATCCCACTACACATTGAAATAATTTATATTAAAGATCTTCGAATAAAGATTATTAATTACAAGCTTTAACGACTCATTTATACTTCATTGGCGGGATACACCTATCCATTTAAAAAAGGGTCAATCATGCAATTAGTTATTACGTTTTCCCTCCCTTGATTTAAAATCGACTGCCCTGGATCTCTCCCGAGAAACTACTGAACTCAATCACTTGCTGCCCTGGATCTTTTTAGTTTTGTTTTTAGGTTTCATCGTAAACCTAATTGGTAATTACATACATTAATAATTCAAACCATACTTAAAGGTAGGGCATCTCTCATTTTTCTGAGTCAAGAAAAGAGCGATAATTAATTGATAAATTCAATATCAATCATAAGTAGCTCTCCAGTTCAGGAGTTCAATGAACGTAGCTGTCAAACCATTAGATGAAATGCCACTGTATATAAACAAATAAATGCTAGCTGTTGTGTGCTGGTTGTTGTTGTTGATTTCTAGCTTGCCTGGCCCGTCTTGTTGTTAATTTCTAGCTTGCCTTGCCCGTGTCATTTTCCAAGCACTCGTTGGAACACTCATTCAAATATATATTCAACCATACTTTCTCTAGTGAAATACGCACCTCTATTTTTTTACATGGATTCGTCAACGAAGGCTCAATTATATACTGATCAAGCGACAATGATTTCAAGTAATTATAATTATTTTATTAGAATATGACTGTGATGTTAAAAATAAAAGGAGAAGTGTCAGCCGGCGGTGGCGATTTGATGTGCATGGCTGGCATCCTAAGTTGTTGGGATATTCCGGGGGGAATGTGTAGCAGATTATTAGTTAATTTGATGACCAGCCTGGAGAAGATTTTAAGAAATAAAAATATCTTCTTGAAGATAATAAGCCGTCATCTGTCAGATTAGATTCCTGAATTTACAAATATTATTTCACGTTAGACAAAATTTTCTGGAGATAAAAAATAGTTTTTGGAGATACTAATCAAGCCGATCAGATCATATTCGTCCATTTAAAAATATCCCTTCGGGCTGCCCTCATATACTTGTGTTTTGCATCTGATAACTAGTATTTTGTTCTCCTAATGTGTTTCGGCTATCCTCAAATTAGTTTTGGTTAGTGTTATTAAATTCGATTTAATAGGTTGATAGAGAACCCCCACCTGAGTTGGGATGTGGACGGGTTTTAAAAAAATAAGTAAGAATTTAACTAGTTAAACTCAAACAATTCAATAAATTAAGTAAAAAAAATCTCACAACAATATTTATATAATTATTAAAAACAAAAATAATTAAAAATACAGTGAAAAATACAATGAAAAAAAATCATGAAAAAAGAAGAAAAAAAATTCTTACCTTAATATAGTAGCAAGTGAAGCTAAGAAGAAAAAAACATTTCAGTAAAGCATATTAATTAAAAAAAATCAAGAGGATAAAAGAAGAAAGAAGAAGAAGACATACTCAAGTATGGAGAAAAATAGAAGGAGATGTAGAGAGAAGAGAAAAAAAAATAGATATTGATTTTTTATATATATAGGTAAAAAGAAGAAGAAGAAGCAAAAGAAGAAGAATAAGAAATGAGTTTGTCTCTTTAGAAATAAAGAGATTCGGGCTTTTTATTGGGGCGCATTACCGACAGTTTTACTGATGAATAATTAAATATTCATATTTTTTAATTATTTTATCGGTAATTTTGTCAATAATATTTAATTTAAAATTTTAATTTCATAAAAATTTTCAGAAACCACCAACAATCATCGATGATTTTTCAATCCGTCGGTGACTCTATCTATAATATTTAAATAAAATTTTTAGATTAATTGAATTTTTTCATAAAACCGCCAAATAACACTAAGGATTTTTCAATCCATCAGTGATTTTATCTGTAAAGAACAACAATTAACAGTGCAATTGGAAAGCAAATAATTATGGAGTTCTCTGGAAAATACTGCTAAAATTTTTTATCGATGATTCTCTTTGTAATTAACATGGTAAAGAGTATTCACAGTTTAATTATCAACGATTTTACCGATGGGATTCTGTTGGTAAAAATGACACGTTGTTATTTTTTTTGCTTTTTTAAAAAAAATTCCACTATAATTTTCTCAATATATTCTGAGAGAATATTTTTATTAGTAAAATCTCTCAAAAATTTACTAATTAAAATATTTTTTAATATTTTTATTTTTATTTATTGATTTTCTAATAATGTAGGTATAGATTTGGTCTCGTCATCTCAACATGTCTCACCTAATTCCCTTGCCTTGTCATGGTTTGGTTTAGTGTTGGATAGTCCTCTTGCAAGCGCTTCCTCTCGACTTGTTTCAATATTGGACACATCACAACTGGTTCTCCAAATGTGCCCTTTTTTGTTTTGCATTTAGTCATTGATGTCTTGAAATTTGCTTTTCAGCAGGTCTTAGACGGTAGTGCTTCATCATCTTCTCATCTGGCTTCTCATCAGCACACAAGGGTTTTTTGACCATAAAAACCTAAGATTGCTAATCTTGGTGTCAACTCTACTCCGTGGGATTCTTCCTTATTTGTCCACATATCATCTACTTTC